GGAGCTGAGAGTCCCCGTATATTTCTGGCATTCAGGAAGCTGACCTTCCTGATAAAAGCAAGTTGGGGTTGCCCATACTAGTTGCTAGAAATTACCCTGTTTGATTTATGCTAATTAAACTGATTAATTGCTCTGCTTAGTAGTCTATTTGTCAATGACGGTTTCTGACCGTGATTCGGGAAAGCTCAAACGAACCAGTTGTACCTCCAATGTTAGCTTGATTTCCCATTGTCGAAACTCTGTTCACCATCGAACAGACGTCTTTACCGTTTTAGGGATCCAATCAATGCAAATGGAACCCCCCGAGATTCAGCAGATGGTATCTGTCGGGACTTATCCACAGACTCAGTACAATGACTGGTCCATGCGCTTTGCAGAGCATGTTAGCTGAAATCTGGCAAATATCACGGTTATTGAAGACCGCTCCCATGCAGCCACTTCGGCTTGTTAGCAGTTCCTCATAAAAGCATTTTCCAAGCTTTGTTTCAACCAAAGCAGAAACAACGATGTTGACCTGAACATGTGGACAAATGTTTAGTCCGTTTGATTTCATCGTTCAGGAGCTGCTGGTGGATGTTAGGCACAATGATGGCGTTTACGACGTCTGATGCTGGTCAGTGGTCTGCGTATACATCTCGATGCCAGTTGCCATAGTCGTTTCTAGTTTCAGACGAACCATGGGAAACACCGAGATGGCTTTCTACGCTGTCGAATGACCTACTCATGTACCTAGATACCTAAACAGTATAACATGAGCGTGTTTTGCTCATCGAAGGATGCTAAATAGATAATTATGCCATTCAAACTATAATGGATGAATGAGCAGGCTAATACCATTTATAAACAACGTTTTCTTTCCTTATAACGGTTCTTCTTGCAGGATCCTGCCAGACCTACCGCGTACAGCTTGATATTGAACGTTACTTTTTCGAGAGAAGGTTGATGCAGAGCTAATGCAGTGCCAGTTGACGAACTGTTCAAACAGCTGAGACAGAGGAGCATGGTAGCTGATACACAGTCTGGCCAGTTTGTGGCAGGGACTAGATGTGCGTGTGAATCACACTCACTGGATTCTGACAGATGGATTTCCGTAGACCCATGTTCAACCCGTCCAGCAAAGTATTGTGGAAATTTACTGTAAAGGCATAGCAATGTGGCCGATGTATTCAGGTGAACTTGCGGAACTGCTTTACAGTGTTCATTTGCGCTTGTGTAATAGTCAATGAATATCCATGCAAGTTCAAGAAGACGCGTGATAATGTTCAGTGCTTAAAAAATGTGCATATGAGACATTAACTTTCCTGTTTAATAGCTTGTTACTGTCTAATTGATGTTTGTTAATGAACGCCAGTAGCGCAACATGAGTGTGGTTTGTTTGGCTTGCTTGAAACTTGTTTACTATTGAATACGCATCTACTGTCAGTCTTTTCATCAACCACTTTATCGAGAACCTGCATATGAATTGAAATTATGGTTAGTCACAACTTAGGTTTTCTTCCTACTGTGGCTTGATGAATTATTTTAAGGTCCACAAAAAGCTTACTCCACCTAAATGAAACGAGACAGCATATGCCAACAGCACCCCTAGCCTGGGTTGGATTAAATAACGTTGATGGTGCAAGTCATGGGAACTACGCTGCGTGTTCGGATTAAGTAGCTGGAGTCTGGAGATAGGGTGGACAGAGTGAGGAAGGCAGACGCCAAATGACCGCTACGTAAGTGCGATGTTGGAGTGATCCTAGAAATGTGTCCATGCTCTCAACATGGATAAGAGTTGTGAATCCTCAGGGTTGCCAATGTCTGAATGGTTGCTTGATAACATTAAAGAAGAACCACACAACCGTCGAGACGGTACACTCAGAAGGTGAAAGAAAAAGTAAGAAATCTGTCGTAATGCTCGTGTGGGTGAAGTCAGAAAATAATAGTTTAAGAAAGTCAGAGTTAAGTCTATCTTACTGTCGGTCCAATGACATTTGCTAAGAACGGCAGCTGAATATTCGGGACTAAAGAGACACAGGGATAAGAATTGTTATATGCAGCTGGCGATAATGGTTCATGTAGCTTTTCCTTGGTAATATCACCTTCTAAGTGATCGTTTTTACGGTAAACTTTTGAAGTTCAGAGATTCCACTAACTACCAATGAAAAGGTAAACAGGAGGACTGACAGTAGACAATTTCGATCTCCTCTTTCGACCGAAACTCTCATGCAGGGCAGCAGCATGTCAATGAAACATTCGAAAATTAGGTCCTAAATTCGATGGTCGGATAAAAAATATTAGTCTCCGAGGTTTTAGCATGGATGTCAATATCCAAACGGAATTAATGTGTTCAAATCGAACTGGGGTACTACCCTCCGAGAACACTGCACAGATTTGGATGAGATTTTTTACTCCAAAAATTCCATCCGACCACTTCCAGCACACGGCCTTCAGCTAGCATGGTTGTATTTTTCTGGTGTTTTATTCTTTCTGCTCAAGACAATAAGCATTTGAGCTCTTTCAGCGTAGCTGCCTTTTACTCCTATGACTTCAGTGAGCTTCCAACAACATAGTCTCACCCCACCGAGGTAGGTAACGGCATATTTTGAGAGTAGCGTTTTGTTTCCTAGACTTCACGTTGCTGGCACAACGCAGTTTGCGTAATTCATTTGAAAATGATGACAAAGAATACTGATTTACTCTTATAGGCAATAATTTATTGTTCAAACCCTTTTAGCAAAGAAGTCTCCATGAAAGTAAATAATGTTATGTGGTGTTGCTGGAAGCAAGTTTCACAGAGATAAGATAAATAATTACGGCATGGTCGGGCAACTGAAGAAAAGACAAATATTTCTGAGAGGTCATGGACGTTCCATGGAATAAATATGCGCAGCATAATTGTCTCTGTCTGTTCACATAAATTTGGTATTTCTTTTCTTGGAATCTTGAAGCTGAATTTCGGAATTTGAACATTCAATGAAGGACACTAGTTTTGAGGATCTCTGTGAGAGATATAACCGAGAAAAAAACGTGGAACACGTACGCGCACAAGTCAACATACACCAAAGTAACTTGCTAATGAGCGCTCATCGCCAGCAACCAGGTTGCTGGTTGCCCATGAGGCAACAGATTTCTGCTCAAAATGCAGAGGCATGAGATATCGTGCATCCGTGTTTTTCGAATTGATTGTGTGATCCCCTGGCCAGGTTGTGCTCTCCATTTCATCAGCTTCAACCTCGGACTTCAATTGGCAACTAAGCGCCCAGTGTGAAATCAAATAACTTAGTTGCGGTGTCATGGACGTATTGTTTGGTCATGATAACCTAATGTACAGAAGCAAGAACGTCTGAAACATAAGGCAGGTTTCACTGGATTTTCTCCCACATATTTTACTTTATCAATGGATCATCAAAACGAAGATCAAAGATCCGAATTAGTCAAATACTGAAAGATGGTGGGATCGTAAACGAATTTGCAAATTGAATTTTCTGATTGTTCAGTTGGCGAAATATTGTAATCATATGCAACGTTTGCTAGGGACGATGAGTATGGGCTGTGCTTTGATTGGTCGCTCAGGTCTGTCTTTCACGGTCGCTGGATTAGCTCTTCCTCAGTTGTCAGAGTATTTAAAAAGTTGGCGAAAATTTTACCGACCGGGAAACCACGCGGCATCTACACCGGAAATTAGTCCTCTTCTGTGGAGGAAAAGTAATTGTATTGGCTCCTCTCTCTGCAACCACTTAGCATAGTTCGATCAGTAAGGGTGCACACACAATGTTTGAACCGTTTCGTTTACGTTACTATCATTTGCATGACGTGCCATGCCTACAACCTTGACACACATCTGCTCATCGTATTTGTCTGTGCAATTGTCGGGCTGGAATGACTGCGTGGCGTAACGAAGCCAGTAGTGGCTCTTGCAGTTAGTTGTTTCTGACTACGTTGGTAGACAAAAGGCCAGCTAATAAGCCAGAGGGCTGCGGTGATTCACATGCCTTAGCTACATAAAAGATCATTAAAAACATCATAAACGAGAGATTCAGCTGGGTCTCAGATCAGTTTCCCTCAAAATGAGTGTATTCCGCTATCATTAAAGAAATCTGAAGCCAATAGAAACCAGTAAAAAAAGAGGTTGACACATGTAGTTTGTTGACAGTTTAGTTGACATAAGTCGGCTCTGGTTGTTTACGTATTCGCGACGGTCAACTAGAAACTGGCTCCCTGGTTTATGTCCAAAACTCCGCTGTTCTGGAATGTCTTCTTGCAATACAAAAGCAGTTCCAAGTTGTATTAGAAGTAGCTGGATTCATAATACAGTCATTATCCAGAATTATTCCTAGAAAATTTGGGATTATTTTTTCTTAACCTTGACAGATAGTGGAACGCAAGTCGCAACAACCACCCCAAACATAGAAATCATCCCCCTGAAAAAAGCACGAAAGGGCGTATTCAAATGTTTACCAAATTTGCTTGGTATGAGCTACAAAGACCAATTTGCAATGCTTCACTTGCTTTTCCGGTATTCCGTATTGGCGTGGATGTCACGCTTATGTCCGATATGCTTTTATGCTGAAAGTCGCAAACATTTGCTTATAATAAACAAGTGACAGAAAGTCGTCCAACTCTCAGGAAATCTAGCGAAGTGTTCCACCTACGGCATCAATTACTTGGACGCTTGAATGTCACCGGCCATTTCTTCACCCAAGTTGACTGTCTACAATAACTATTAGTTAAGTACCACTGGTGGGAGATAATGAAAAAAGATGCCATACAAAAACTCCAAGAATTTTAGGGTATTGCCCAAGTGTTTGCAATTGAAGATGCGGTCCAAGAAGTGCCTTCCCGGAATGCTTCTGGTCGACCAAATATGGTTAGGTGCGAAATATATGTGATACGTTTTACCCCATACAATGGCCAGCAAATTAGATCTTCGTAGAATGTGTCCTTACATTTTGATCTGCTGACCAATATCAAGTATACGGACCTGACGGCCAGTTGGGCGCGCACGAATTTCGGGGCACATGACCAAATATCGACTGACCCGTGATTCAACCTTGGCGATAAAAAATTCAATTTATTTCCTTAGCTTCATCATTTATTCCGGTGCTGCCATTTCAAGGTTAGTTTTTTGGTGGTTTTGAATGAGATTCCGGAACGATCCTTTTGGTTTTGCATCTCGTCTCCGGTCTTCAACCAAAAAGCATGAAAATAACTTAAATTGGGGAGAGGTATTCTTTGCAATGACTCCGGGCTTATATCCTATCACGTGGCACTACTAACGGCGGTGGCTTAGCTGTATGTTCTCTGCACCACAGTAAGACAAATTGCGAACTGAAAAGTGGGTGACCTGAAGAAAGGAGGTGTTTTTGGTGCCGTCTTCCTTCCAGAATGATATCCCTTTGATCTTTCCTGTTCTTCCTTGAAGGCGCCGCAAGGAATGGCTTCCAACCGTAGTGTTTGCATTGCCAGATTATTTCCAAACCGACTGAATGTTGTGATGTACTAATACTACAGAATATTTGCGGTATCTTAGCACTTGTTTCACTCCCTAGCTTTTCCTATTTTTCTCCCTAATATAATTACCCTAAGCAAAATTCCTGGTTGTGTGAACCCGTTGATACAAGAATACGCTGTTTACGAGAATAGATACCGAGTAAGACAGCTTGCCGGACGAAGGCACAGAGCCGACTGTAAAAACCCGACTACACCTATTTTGGATAGTATTATTACTTGAAGCTGTTGTCCCCGCAAATCATTCGAGTTTACTCTGAGTCCACTAATCCTTGTGGAATGGCAGATACTGATGGAACGTGCACGGATTTAGCCTCTAATTGGCACTGTTAGCCTAGTGAAAAGTGAGGTGAAAGACAGACAATGATTTATACGCAAAAGTTCGTTTTTTGGTAGCTTTCAATTTTAACCGTTTTTGCTCCGTTTGAGCATGCCTGATGCCTTATGTGATGTCATTTTCTCCACAATCACGCAGCAACTTGCAGAATTCCTTATTTAGTCAGATTGAAGCCTTTTTGATGGCCACTGGTACATAAAGCTTTGCCCGAATCTTGCTCGGAAAATTTGTCACCTTGATACGTATGGTATAGACAATTTTTTGGTGCTGAGAGCTCAAGAGTTAAATGTTCACAAGGGTTCCTCAGCGGCACGCCCACGCACTCAGCAGCCAGAATCCAACTCTGTCACATGCCGTTATGTTCTTCGTCTATTACGTGTCCTTATCACGCGACTCTGTGAACATTAGATCACGTGAGTACATTTGATGGCTAGGTACAGCTTTCTTATTCTCTTGGCAAAGCTAACTCCAGTCACCAGTGATGATGAAACTGCTTTTGTTCCACTGATGTGCCTGAAGCTTGGGGCTGAAAAAGCAGGCCGTTGGTTACCACAGTCTTATCGTAATACCAATACGCATGTGTGATATAAGATGCGACAGCCACGCTTCTAATCTAACCAAGCTGGAGTTGGCAATACTGAAGAAAGTCAAATTGGATGGTATGGCCAGGCCCGTGTATTTAGAACTTTTGGGCATTTCTGAAGGGCTTGGGCGCATGAAATGAACACATTCAGAAAGAAGTAATCTGTATTCAGGTGCAAAAGAACCACACATCCACTATCCTTGCTGACAAGACGTTGTAACCAAATTACTGAATTTGAAAAATAGCACTGGGAAATTTTTCCCGAAAGGGGCGGTAAGGATCCTTCCAAACACTGACAAAATGATGAATTTACTGTAGACTTTACCAAAACTGAATGCACATCAATGCGATAATTATCTATTGTTGGGTGTTTGTGGACGGATTTCGGCCAATGTTAACCTCATTCATTCAGTCAGTGTTGAATCAATCCTGTGATTTCACCTCAATGTTTACTAACCACAAGTAATTGGATGCAAATTTGGGTGAAAGCAACTGAACATCAGATGTGGAGCAACGGATTTTAATTGGCCAAACCACTTGTTCATCGGCTGAACCGATTATCATCATTCGAGAGAACTGCTGTGAATCGTTGCACTGTAGTCATGAATACTGTGACAGTTTCACAGTTCCCAATTTCTTTCAGAGACCGTACACCAAAGTCAGTCGTGTACGAGTGCATAGATGATTTAGTCACCATTAGGAAATTGTCTATAATGCCGGGTGTTTTATTGGGTTGAACGGTTGCATCTCAGTGTCACCGTGAGAGCTGATCGTGACATGCTAGTTCGTGTGTTTGAAATCTACAGGTTTGTACTACCAAATGTTCAGACAGAATCCGCCATAGACGCCACACTGCAAGTCTTTTCCGAAGTATGGACAGATTTAGTAAGCTTTACCGGTTGCAGTTGCTAAGCTCTTCAGCTGTCGAACCTCGACAAGCTAACGCAATCACATGGGTCTGACTTACACAAATGAAGATACGCCCGCGCTGCATTGGCTACCTGACAATAGTATACAACAGCCTACATAGAGTGGAATGAATAGATGTGAGATATCACTGACGTATGGACTTGTTCTTCAGTGCACATTTTCAACAGCCTACATAGAGTGGAATGAATAGATGTGAGATATCACTGACGTATGGACTTGTTCTTCAGTGACACATTTTCATTTCTATACTTGATTACCCTACCAAATTCCTCTCCCTTACGAGGACAACTTTTGCGAAGTCCTGTGGGCGCGTACGACTATGTGGGAAGCTTTCACCTGAGTTCACAACGTCCAGTGGTGTAGCTTTTTATTGATATACTGCTTGAAATTTCTCTGCCTGCTTCTGAAAACTCGGGAGTTGAAATGCCCCCCGGGACGTTCCTTCGTAGACACTGAGTATGCAGACGATATTACTCTCCTTGGTTTAGATCCTTCCCAGATGCTAACCATTTCAAATAACCTAAATAACTATGCCGCACGGTTTGGCATGAGCTTAACACCTGAAAAATGTAAAGTGTTGCTACCAGGCTGGGTTGGATCAAACCCACACCTCATGCTCTCAGATGAGTCAGTCGATGTGGCAGATAAATTTGTTTACCTGTTTACCTGTGTCCGTTCAGGTGGACTCCCCGGAGATAATCAGAATACTTCTTGAACCTGAAAGACCAGAGCAGCTTTTTCCGACGGGAAGTGAACATGTCAGTCAAGGGAACAGTTCAAACTGCGGTGGTGCGATCCATAATTCTTTGCGGATCAGAGACGTGTCCCCTATCTGCAGGGGACATACGGAAAACGTCAGTGATTGCTCATCGGTGTCTCCGCAGCATTGGTCAGGTCTGATGGGAACATTGGATTAATAACGCTGAGGTACGCCAGAAGGTCTTAGGAAGAAGGAAATCTCCCGTGATAGATGAATTACTCACGCTTCATATGTTGCACTGGTTAGTGCCTGTGGTCTGTATGCCAGAATAACGTCTGCCTCATAGAGCTCTTTTCGCCCAGCCCTGTGCTGTGTGGAAACGACTGAGAGGTGAACAGTGTATGACCTGGCAAAGAAGTACAAAAACGCTTACCAGTGAACTTATTAGGGTAGGCAACTGCCGCCTCCGTGGATGGGGACCCCGGGACTCAAATCACCAGTGGTTAATGACATTGGTGGAAATGGCCCAGCCGTTCAGTCAGTGGCAATCGTGCATCAAAGTTATTGTCTTCAATGCGTAGCTACCCATTTTCTGAACAAACTGAACATGCCATCGCCTCCAAGGCTTGACTGTATATCTCACACTCTCCCACCTTCCGGTGATCGAAACTGTAGCAGCTGGAACCAACGTGCCTAAGGCAGGCGGTTTATAGCTGATAAATTGATTACGTTTGTATGTTGCAGTTTAGCAGTACTGGTTGTGGTCAATCTACTCCTGTCCAAAACAATGTTTCTTGGTGTGGCGACATTGTTTATATCAATATAAATATTATTTTATCAGTGGAAGCATTCTCCGAGATATTCGAGGATTTTCAGTTAACTGTACATACAAATCCTTTATTTATCAAGTTTAGAGCCGTATGAAAGGTTTTTTACTACAGTTGTAGAAGTTCTCGTCGCACCAACGCCTACTAGTGATCTCCATCAAAATCAATTTATCAGCTTTAAAGCGTATATCATAAACACGTTGGTTCCAGCTGCTACAGTTTCGATCAGTGGGAGAGTGCATGGTGTACAACACACATCCGGCTAATGATCTACGTCAAGTCACGTACAAAGAGTACGACACACCAATAAGTAGGGGTACACTGGCAATTTCTATCAAGTACTGATGCCGCTGCATGCCGCCAAACGACCAGGACCCTTGTACTAGGACAGAACTTCTAGGACTTTTGAACACGGTGTGGTGACCAAACCGCTATTCTTACACGTCCACGCACAAATATTCTCACGGTTCAACGTATCCTGTATCATTGAATACCTGGAGCATACAACGATTTCTAAGTGAAAAACTTTAGCACGCTACCCTAGTCCTCATAATCATGATCATCATAGGAAGTAGCAGTCCAGTAGCATACGGTGCTAGCACACTCCACCTAAATCAGTTAATTCCTTTCAAGTTATATCAACAGGAATCAAAGCCATTCAGAGTCAGTACTTTGATAGACTTTTGTGTACACAGAGAACATTTCCTAGTGGGCCCTGTAACAGCTGCCAGGTTTCCCAATACTTGGTTCTCGTCAATAAAACATATTCGTATGTTGGGTAGCCTAGGTTCAAAACCATTCTCCACTCTCGGGAAACAATTATCCGAAATAGGACATGAACGTTGTTCGTATTGTACCGGACGACTCACAATCACGGGTGACCAACCACTTTAACAGGATAACGAGTAAAAAATTAATAGATGTATATGACTCATTGTGTGGCAACTACACTCGTCCTCTTGCGCGCATGACTATGGTCACATTGCTGGTTTTAAGGGCGTCTTCTTAACTAGTTTCACCTCTTTTATCGTTAATATAAATCGAGGATTTTGGACTCTGTATCACGATACCAAAGTATTGAACTTAAATGCAAAAGCGCAATCTCGCCTAGCCTATTTTCGCGGTCGATGCCTTGCAATTTTGATGCGTTACTTATGGTTGAAAAAATGATCGACTGACTAATCGACTGATTGATGGACCGATTGATTAGTTGAATACTACGGTTGCACCGAGTGGAAACAAACAAACAAATTTGAGTGTCCCTTTTAACTTGAAATGAAGGGGGTTTTATTTGTGATCAGAAAAATACAGAACAAGTGGTGACGGTTATTAGAGGTACTGAACAGATTCAATGATACATTAGAATACAAATTATTGTTTTTCTATAGTTTCTGTTTCCAACACTCAAGCCATCAGGTTTTGTCCGTTTGCAATACCTATTCTTCACCATAATTAACTAGAAGCGGTAGTTTGTCTTGTCATTGGTGTTACCATTCATTCTAGTGTACTACATATGAAGAGAGTGGATTATAGCAGAAAAAAGTGCACTTCCACCTTCCCTCCAAAAATTTTCTCACGGGAGTGTTTTTGCTTAAAAAGCCCACGGAAACTTTTCAGTTGAAAACTCCGATGCTATCCTCACCATCGGCTAGGGTGGGTAATTTTGTTTTGCATCGATTCTCTGCTGTCTGGATTTGTTCGTCTACCTCCAATGACATTCTCCTCTGATGAAACATTTTAGATTGCCAGTTGAGCTTACTTGTGTATCAGGTTTGAGGGTCCACTAGGTGCCGGTTCTCTATTATTTCTTTAGATTTTGGGGGACTGTAGTGGCTAAACTGACAAAATACATAATGCTTATGCTATCGTAACTCTGATAACAAAAGAAAGTTAGTTTTAGCAGGAAAACCAATAAGAACTTTTGAACTCTCTCACATTCTGAGAAATCTTTATCACTACCTACCTTATGTCTATCGAATTCGAAATAATTAGAGTCAAGATTCATAAGTGTAGAATGGCTGATTAGGGTTGAGATCCACTTTTTTGTCTGCAGATTACATGCAGCTGATCGTTTGAAAAAAAAACACACCTGTGCTTCTAGGTAACTTCATTTAGCAGACGAACCATTGATTAAAAAATTCAAAATCGCCCTTTCCACCAGAAACCAGATGCCGACTATCCAGTATTATTTTCCTAGATGTTTGTGGAAAACCCATCACTGTCCGAATCGTGTTTTTTTGGTCTCTGGCTAGGTCGGACAGGTATGGTGTCTGTAGTGAACTGAGTGATATACGTCAGTGGCTATTTCAGAGTTCTAAAAAATTTCGTTGGTTTTTCTCAATCGCATGTATGTCTGGTGCGTCTGCTCAACATAAAGTGAAATATTCTAATACACACGCACAAAAGTTGCTTAGTATCCCCAACCATGAGTAAATTTTGTTCATTTGTTTCTCAAAGCCCTTGGTGCTACTTTAGATAACCCTTCATCCAGGAAAGACTTCATTGACCCTTTCTACTGCAGCGATTTAAGGGTGCCACCTAAGTGATCAATGATGCTTACCTCAATGTCCTTCGTTGTCGCCTTTTGGTGTTGCTCTTGCAGTGTCGGCTGTTTATTCACAGGATGATATTCTAAAGAAATGTTGAAACTTTATACTAGTAAGTGTCTGTGTCACTGCAACGGACACGTTTATGATTGTAGGTTTCGCTGTTCAAACGAACGTGCCAGGTTTTCGACCTCCGTCTGATTTTTCACACAAACGGGTACGTGCTTATTCGCCGGAGCACTTGGACGTTCATGAGTGTTGCCGGTGAAACTTGCTCGGGAGTTACATATGAAGTTGCGTACACAAAGGGACTGGCCATAGGTTGAATATACCTATAACCCTCGAGTGTGACTGAGAATCTCAGCCCCTACAACCCTCCATGTCCTTTTCAATGATGTGACCAAACTTTTGAAATTTCTACACTAACCCCTTATAAGAGGAGTTCTACAGGGACGGTTCTTGTGGATACATGTCCGCCGCTGGGATGTAATGTGTTCTGTTTGATATCTTGTCAAATAAATTGTAGATGGGATGCGTTGCTGATAAGCTCCAGCTTATGCTAGCTACAGTCCGGTGTGCAAGTGAAGCGCACAGGTGAAATAACATTTGAGAACAATTTGCGTCTCACAGGAGTGGTTCTCGACATATGCATCTACCGACCCGAAAAAGTAGTTTTTGGGCATTCCGCTTGCTAGATCCGTGGTGCCTTAGTGTAATGTGTTTGTACAGCACGAAAGTCTTTGTCAGTTTTCACTTCATATGTTTAGGTAAGATTTGAATGAATAATACTGAGCTGCCGAAGAAAATCTATCACTAATGCCTTGTCCATGGCGTCAAAATGACTCTTAGTGTAGGTTAGCTTTGAGCTAATCGGTCAACTGTTTTTCGATCATGATAATGAAAACAGTTGCTACAATGCAACCTGATGAAGTGATCATAGTCGGTTGTCTATAAAAGAGATTTTGAAATTCAAAACTGATACTCAGGTACATATGAAAATTAGGCTTTCAAGAATTTCCGTTGAGTTTACAATGCTCACTTTACCAAACTAATTGATTCGCACAGAAAGCAAGTCGTTCTATGCAGAGCAATTGCGGTGATCAAGGACCGAAAGATTCACAGACTCACACTTCTCAAATATTCAACTAATTCAACGGGGTTTTGATGCTGTTTTCACCTTTCTGAGTGACTGGCTTCAAGCTGGACAAACATGTGGAGAGGAATGATATATATTCCCTCTGTGTGTTTCTAGGGGCCTCGAGCATACTGGTATCAGTAAGCCCATTGGATATAAAACCCTCCTTTGATATTTAACTTTGAAAGCGTCATGGAAATACTGGCTTGTATACTCTTTAGCACAGCAGCATAATAGCCCTAGATTTCAAAGTGAGAGCATTGTTTGATTTGATCCCTCACATTTATAAAGCATGCCTTCTGGTTACAGCACATTTATTGATCAATGGAGTGAAAATAAACTGGTGGATAGTATCAGTTATCTGTCCTGAATCAGATCTATTTGGATGCAATTCAAAAACCGGTCCAAATCTCCAGACTGCGCCTTGATAAGGGTGCGATTCGATTTTAAATTTTCGACCTAACAAACAGAGTGCCTATTATAAGCCACCGATGGAAGATTATTGATGCAGCTATAGGATGTCATTTTCTGAGTCCTCAAAGGGACACAAGATCACTGGTTTGGCAGTTCACAGATTTACAGAAACAGATTTACAGGAGTTGTTTAAAATAATCTTGGAGCTTATGGCACGTATCTTGTCACGAAAATTAAACAAGATGCTTTCCGAGAAACAGTCTCAAACAGCTCTCTCTATTCAAAACCAAAATCAGACGGAGTTCAACGAAACTTTGTCTCAGGCTTCTGCCTGGCACCTAATTAGCAGGTTCAATCTCTTCGCAACTAAGTTATGCCCAACAAACCTACACCAACGAAAATAAACTAAGTTTTCAGCAACCTTGTGAGTAGTCTTCTTTGTGAAAAGTAAGTTAATTCTTCTCGAGAAATACACTCATCTGCAAATCAATTTGGTTTTCACGGGAGACTCAATTGAATCTCCCGTTTATGATGTTCTCCATCATAAACGATAGATTCAATTGAGTCTCCCGTGAAAACCAAATTGGTTTGCAGATGAGTGTATTTCTCGAAAACAGTGCGATTTGGGTTCAAGTAGATCATAAGGTTGACGGAAACTCGGGGACTGCGCCTACCTGATGAACCATAAGAAGGGCGAAACCGGTCGTGGGCTGTCAAAGAGTTTTCAGCAACCTTGTGAGTAGTTTCCTTTATAAGTTAATTCTTCTACCATTTTAGGGCTTCCAGATGTGTCAGAACTCATCCTGTTAAGTTATAACAGGAAAGCTGCATCAAAGTGTCCCAAATGGCTATTAACTCAGTTCTTGAAATATAACTCAGAGCTCTAGAGCACCGAGCAATAGAATCACAGTGAGTAGGTTGTTAAGTACCAGATCACTTGATCTTACAGACCTGGCTTATTTCCCCCGGACAAGTGAGTGGTTACTAGACTAGCAGTTGACCAGCTGATTGGGTGATCTGGCTGGTAATTTGTTCTACAGTCTTCTACAGCTACAGAACGTATTAGAAACGAGAGACTTTCTTCGGCGGATAGCGTATCACGAAAGCAGCCATAAAGCCTCATTCAAATAATTCTATGAAGTCGTGACATCATAATCTCATTGTTTTACTTTTTCGCAAGACACCACATTCAAAACAAAGAACATGGATTCAAGGTTTTGGGTTCTACTGCGTTCACTTCTGTTGACGTTGCTTATATTGGCCTTGACCGGACTTCATGTAACCTCGGCAATCTACACCTTCCCATACTATGCCTCAAGTAAGTAACTTACTTTTACTTGCCATAAATACACTCACCTGTCATAAACCGTATGTATTGCATCCTCATCCTTGATTCAGTTGGCAATGATGTCTTCAGACAAATAACTAAAGAGTTGCCCATACTGGGACGAGATTGCCACCTCTTTGCTTAGGGCTGGGAATTTTGCCTGTGGCACGACCCATCCAGGCGCACTGAAGCACTGGATATCAGACCGAACGGTGGCACTACTTAAA